ATTAGAGTAAGGTTCCAGTGAAAGACTAGAGAGCAGCAAGGGATAATTGATGAGATTGAATTTCTCTTTTCAGTACTGGGAGGCTTGATAAGTCATAAAGGATGGTAAAGCTTTCAAATATTGAGCAGTGGGCATTTACAGAAAAAGAAAAACATCAACCAAATGTTTATTTTATTGGTTCTTCTAAATCTAAAATCATTTTCTAAAAGAGAGTCAAGTTCACAGGTTCATATGATAAATAATTACACCCTGATATTTTATATATGTGTGTGTATATATATCACTTAATCACTTAATCACTTAACTTCCCGTTAGTCGTCGATTTGCTCGAGCGGGCGCCAGGAACATCTCCATTTGTCCCTGTCGCGTGCTAGTGTAGCCCAATGGCATCTGTTCGCTCCGGGAACATGAAGGGCCTCAAACCTATCGTTCATGATCTTGATGAAGAAGTCTGACCATCTGGAAGGTGGGCGGCCACGCGGTCTTTTGACATCCCGTGGAATCCAGTCGGTAACAGCTCTAGTCCAGAGGTCGTCTTTAAATCTCATTAGGTGACCAGCCCATCTGATTTTCGACACCTTGGCAAATGAGACAGCGTCCCTGATTCTTGAGCATCGACGGATGTCAGAACTCCGGATTCTTTCTCTCATTTGAGTGAAACGTGATATTCCAAGCATAGCTCTTTCTATTCTTCTTTGGGAGACCTGAATAGCGTTCTCATCTTGTTTGCGTAGGGCCCAGGTCTCTGAGGCATATGTTAATGCAGGAAGAACAGTGGAATCAAAGAGATGTGCCCGGAGCCGGAGGTTCTTTGTCCTCTTAGCTATTTCTTCGATGTTCTTGAAGGCGTTCCAAGCCACTCTTTTCCTCCTGCGCAGCTTGGGTGCCAGGTCATTTGTCATGTTGACCTCTCGACCTAGGTGTATATATATATACACGCATATATGATAGGATCATTAAATACATGTGATCTAGAATATACATTGTTTGCCATAACTATGTATATGCCATGACTAACCATCTAACCAACTTCTACATATTCTTTGGTTCTTTGAGTGCAAGTGTTACTAGATCATTTTCCAGTAAGATCCTCATGACATCTTAACAGTCTCAACTCTCATTATAAATCTGTCCATATGTGTGTTTCATCACTTTCTCCCCAATTTAGCTCAATCAACAAAACTCTTTCAGGATCCAAACCACCTTATGACTTTTGCTTATCGTCTCTTAAGTTAACAGTTATAATGCTAAATGAAAAGTTTCCCCAAACATTTATTGATTACATGAATGAATAAAAGAATGAAAACAAACATAGCCAGAATCATTAATTTAAGCTTTTCACATTTCTTTAATAAAGAATCCACTAAATATCAGAATGATATATATATATAAATAAAATCATCACATTTTATTAGTTGTATATACCAGGGAAATTTGTTTAAACCCCTCTTTGTATCTATTTTCCCATTTCTACAGTAAATGTACATTAGTTTTAACAAATATGCTCAAAATATTCTTCTCTAAGATTATCAAGTAGACCCTGGTATGGCATGTAAATTGATAAAGTCGATTGAGACCGTTTAGGTTACAGGCAAATTCTTCATGTTCCTGGACTAGAAAAGGATAGTTACTACTTTGATTACCTATAATAATATGTTTGTAAGTAAGAATGTTTCTAGAAATGGCTATTTACAAAAATCTCTATTTGCAGAGTTAGTAGGAGTCATCATCCTCCACTTGCAGCATGAACTCCTTCTTTTCTTTCACTGATGCTTCCGATCCATGACACAATAATTAGATCAAGAATAAAATCTCTGTCTGTTCCTCATTTACTCTAGAATTTATATTAAGATAAAATCTCCATATGCATATAATTAAATTTACCCTTTTTTAAATTTTATTTTATTTTTTTCCTTAAATTTTCTTTTTTTTTTTTTTAGTGAAACACCATGAGGTACAGTTGAAGACTTATAAATTTTTGTGCTTGGGTTTCAGTTATACAATGATCGAATACCCATCTCTCCACCAGTGCCCATTCTCCACCACCACCAGTCCCAGTATCCCTCCCACCCCCTTCCCCCCATCCCACCCTACCACTGCGGCAGGGCATTCCCTTTTGTTATCTCTTTCCTTTTGAGTGCTGTGGTTTGCAAAAGAGACATTGAGTGGCAATATTGTTCGGACTATAGTCTACTCTCATCACGCATTTCCCGTCCTGAGAGGAACCTCCCAACACCCTTTATTTGGTGCTCCCTTCTCTATCTGAGCTGCCTTTACCCCTAGCGTGTGCAGCTGTCCTCAAAGCCATGGAGTAATCCTCCTGGTACTTACCTCGGCTATTCTTGGGTGTTAGTTTCCTATTTTGTTACTTTAAGTTCCCCAGATGAATGCAATCTTTCTATGTCTATTCCTCTCTTTCTGACTCATTTCACTTAGCATGATACTTTCCATGTAGTACCACTTGTATATAAATTTCATGACTTCATCTTTTCTAACAGCTACATAGTATTCCATTGTGTAGATGTACCAAAGCTTCTTTAAGCAGTCATCTGTTCTTGGGCACTCAGGTTTTTTCCAGATTCTAGCAATTGTAAACAGTGCTGCAATGAAGAGAAAACTGCAGATGTCGCTTCGACTATACTTTTTTGCCTCTCCGGGGTATATTCCCAGGAGTGGAATTGCTGGGTCAAATGGGAGCTCAATTCCTAGTTTTCTGAGAATCGTCCATACTGTTTTCCAGAAGGGCTGAACCAGTCGGCATTCCCACCAGCAGTGAAGGAGGGTCCCTTTCTCGCCACATCTGCGCCAGCACCGGCTGCTTTTGTTCTTTTGGATATGTGCCAGTCTCTGTGGTGTGAAATGATATCTCATTGTTGTTTTGATCTGCATCTCCCTGATGATTAATGATGTAGAGCATTTTCTCATGTGTCTTTTACCCTTTTTTTCCTAACAACTTGTATATGAACACATTTCCTCTTCCTCCTAGAGAAGACCCAAAGAAGGAAAGATAGTTTTCATTTATGCCTCAGAATTAGAAATACTAGGTCTTCCAGAGAACTTTTAGAGAAAAGGGTAAATTTGAAACAATAAAAAATTATTCTCATAAAGAAATTTTCAATTATTTTAATTAAGAAACGTGATTAGTCTTCTCAGAGATTTTTCTAATTGAACCCAGGAGGATAAATTCCTGATGTGACTCTTATTATTGTTACTTTTAAATTCTTATGAGATTTAAATCACAATCACTACTATCACATTATGATATAAGTTTGCATTTATGTTGCAGCTTGAAAAGCTAACAAGAACCTTCCTTCAGTGGACATTCATTCAATGGGCATACCCCATTACCAAAGTAAGTCTTTGCTTTCTTTTATTTAAGAAAATAATGAATGAAAAATCTCAATATAAGGCCTAAAGATTACATGAGACTTCTATCCTTAAAATTATTGTTTTCCTGCCTTTGAAATCCAGTCAGACTTACAAAATTTGACATTTTGCTTTGAAAGAAGGCAGGACCTTCCATCAGTGATACTGGGGCATGAGTTTAACAGGATAGCAAAGGGGTGGAGTGTGGTTATGAGAAATCTTAACTCTTTTTCATAATTACATATTTATATAAGCAACTTTTAAGCATTTGTAATAAATTTAGAATTTTGTTTCTCATGGCAATCTCATTTCTCTCTTTATAGCTTTGGAAACTAAGTTAGTAACCTAGAGACCACTATCATAAAATCTTTGGACTTATAGTATATTTGATTGGAATTCGTACTTGGTCAATGTACACTCAGAAAATTTTCACTGTTGCCAAAATTTTATTGCCAAAATTTTCATGGTCCCATATTCATTCTGTGCCCCCAAATTGGGTTGTTCCCCACAATGAGAAGCATTTATTTTGCAGTCAGGACAGGATGCCATGTACACATTTATTCTTAACTTACTGTATGACTCTTAATTTGGTTTCAGGAAACTATTTATTAGCTCTATTATTTTTTTAGAAGAAATTTTATTTAAAGAGGGGAAAGGTTGGAAAAAAGTTCAGAAATCCTCTCACAGTGAAAGGGGTGTCTCCTGAGCAGAATTCTGATTTGCCATATCTAAGGTATTGCCACTGTACCTCTCCTCAGTGGTGAGATAATACAAATGTTTATACTTTTATATTTGGGTTTCTTTTCAAATTTGAAGATCCCCTTTGTCATAATATTTTCTGTAGCAATCTTTTTGTGAACTCGTTTGTTCAACTGGAATCCCCATTGATTGCTTTGTATACTTTGTTTAAAAAGACCATGATTCTACAAAACATAAATTATTAGAGAAATGTTCCATTTTAGGTTAGGAAAACTGTAGATCTAGACAAGTCAGAAAGAGAGCAAGAGGTACATTTTCTTTCTGCCTACACTTGGAGTATAAATATATGTTTATATAAATATAGTGTAATGAACTGGAAGTTTCTATGCCTTGAAAAATGAATATATAAGTACAGTTTTAGTACATGATGTGTTTCATAGATTGATGAATTAGATAAAGATTGCTGGATGCACTGCACATGTAAATCAAAAAAGGAATAAAATAACCTAAAGAAAAGGGGTTGAGAAAAATGATCCACAAAGGATAGTCCTTAAGTTTTGTCCTTAAAGGAAACTAGATGCTTGGAAACTAGTTATTAAGAGAGAGATATGTGAATTATTTATATATATAGATGGAGCTAGTGAGTTGTACCTATGAATAGAAAGAATATTGATTATAGATACATTTATAGAGATACAAAATTGATTCCCATGTAGTTATTGATTAAAATGGCCATAAGTTACAAGCATCATCATCATTATAAAATAAAATGAAATAAAGACTTACCTAAGTACCAATGCTGATATAGTAGCGATTCATTTGCTTGGCACAGGGAGGTATAGAAAAAATGCTTTCACTAGTAATCAATGTGATTGACACCTCCACGACACTTTTATTTCTATAGTTTTAAAGCCTAAGGAACAGAGTCTAAGAAAATGACCATCACGAATCACAGCACAGTGACAGAATTCATTCTCCTAGGGTTCACAGACCGCCGGGAGCTGCAGCCTCTCCTCTTTGTGCTGTTTCTGGTTGTTTACCTTGTCACCCTCATAGCCAACCTGGGCATAATAGTGCTTATCCGACTGGACTCTCGCCTCCACACTCCCATGTACTTCTTTCTCACTAGTTTAGCCTTTGCAGACGCATGCTACACCACAAATGCAACCCCTCAGATGCTGATTAACTTCTTATCAGAGAGGAAGACCATCACTTTCTATGGATGCTTTACACAGTGTTGCATTTTTATTGCACTTCTTCTTATTGATTGTTACTTGCTGGCAGCCATGGCCTATGACCGCTATGTTGCCATTTGCAAACCTCTGCACTACAGTGTGAAAATGTCCAGGGGTGTCTGCATCTGCCTGGCCACGCTGCCTTTTGTCTATGGCTTCTCCGATGGACTGTTCCAAACCATTCTGACTTTCCGCTTGGACTTTTGTAGATCCAATGTCATCAACCACTTCTACTGTGCTGACCCACCTCTCATCAAGCTCTCTTGCTCTGATACTTATCTCAAAGAACATGCCATGTTTGTCTCATCTGGGTTCAACCTATGTTGCTCCCTCACCATCATCCTAGTGTCCTACGTCTTCATTATTGCTGCTATTCTCAGGATGAAATCAGCAGAGGGAAGACGCAAGGCATTCTCCACCTGTGGTTCCCACATGGTAGCTGTCACCCTCTTTTATGGGACTCTGTACTGTATGTATGTAAGGCCACCCACCGATAAGACTGTGGAGGAATCTAAAATAATAGCTGTCTTCTTCTCCTTTGTAAACCCATTACTTAATCCATTGATCTATAGTCTTCGAAACAAAGATGTGAAGCAAGCTTTCAAGAATGTCTTCAAACAAAGGTGGTCAATAAGATGACAGTCCTTCAAAATCTCAATAAGCCATAATCCACAGATTTGGCCCAAATTCCTTTGCATTTTGATTATTTGTATTCAAATATATTATAAATATGTATCAATGTTCTCAATTAGAGTTCTTATCTAAGAATAAATGAGTTATGCTTGTTAATTCGGGTCTTAATTTTCAACAAATAGTCTCTAGAACAGTAGAAATACCATTAAGTTATCTGATTGTTGGAAATGTACCACTGAATTTTGAAGTTCCAAAATGTTATATCCAATTTTCTATTTTGACCATATCATATCCTGGGCTGGAATGTTAGCACAGTGCATAGGGTATTTACCTTGCATGCTGCCTACCCGGTCGACCTGAGTTTGATTCCTTCACCCCTCTCAGAGAGCCTGGCAAGCTACCAAAGGTATCTCGCCTGCACCGCAAAGCCTGGTAAGCTACCTGTGACATATTCGATAGGTCAAACACAGTAACAACAAGTCTCACAATGTTACTGGAGCCACTTGAGCAAATCAGTGAACAATGGGAGGACAGTGACAGTGACAGTGACCATATCCTGGGTGGTTTGTAAGCACATTAACTAAGGACAATTGCTCTCTTTAATGTCAATTTTTGTGTCCTGGAATATTAATACTGTTATTGGCATTATATCAGTCAAGATATCATGTTCTTAGTTTAATTTCTTTAACTTATTTTATATTTATTATCATTTTCTTATTGGTATCTGCAGGTCTTTAGAGCCCATCATCCTCTGTACTCCTTCTTGACTTAGTAATTATAACCTCAAAGCTCTGGGTCATGATTTTATAATAAAGTTTATGGGAAAGAGTGAAAAGAACAGTAGAATAATCATTCTTGTTGTAGACTTGAGACTACTGATCCAGTTTGGCTTCTACATTTTACCAATTTATTTTCTCCCTCTGACCTGCAAGTTTGCATTAACAAACAATGTCTATGAAAGTATGATGCTATTTGTTTACTTTTTAAATTTATTTAAATAAAACATTAGATAAGTTCTCATTTTCTTGTCATGTAAATGTAAAATTTCATTATAAAAGTTACAGCTAAAACTCAGTAATTTTGATATTTTTCATTATTCAGGTTAGGTCACGGTCATGGTCATCCTGTTATTCATCAATTTTCTCGAGCGGGCCAGTAATGTCTCCATTGTGAGACTTGTTGTTACTGTGTTTGGCATATCAAATACCTCATGGGTAGCTTGCCAGGCTTGCCATGCAGGCGAGATACTCTCGGTAGCTTGCCAGGATCTCCGAGAGAGGTGGAGGAATAGAACTCGGGTCAGCCATATTGATCGTTTGCAAGGCAAACGCCTTGCCCGCTGTGCTATTGCTCCAAACCGTTATTATCCTACCTTACAAAGCAGTGGAGAGAAGCAATAAAGGAAGACATCAAAGAGCAGCAGTGCAGGCATATGTGGCAGAAGCCTGGAAAAGCATTCACAATGCCCACCTGTCCTTCACCAACTACAAGAGCAAGATGACTGCCTCAGAGACCTGGGCCCTACGCATGTCCTGATGGATCTATCACATCTTCCAGAAGGGCAATGGAGAAGATTAACCATCACTTCTACTCAGATCTCTTCAATAGCCACGTCCATTTGCCCACACATCAAATTCCACAGGATGGATATGTCGTTTCCGACATTCTCCATTCCAAAATCTGACATGCCATTTCATTGGTAAAGAAACAATAGCACCCATACCAGACAAGGTCCGACCCAATCACCTGAAGAGCCTGCCATTAGTACTCATCAATACATTGACTCCACTCTTCACATCCTACCTGTCTGAATGCAAGATTCCATCCCGGTGGAAAACCAACAGGACTGTACTACTGTACAAGAAGGGAGACATCCACGACATTGGCAACTATTGCCCATCTGCCTATTGTCCATTGTCTTCAACTCTTTACTTGAATCATCCTGAATAGGATTGGCAGAACACTAGATGAAGGTCAGCCATATGAGCAAGCTGGGTTCCAAAAAGGATTCAGCATGATAGACCATATCAACATGGTAACCAAACCCACTGAGGTTTCTTTGGAGTTCAAGATACCACTCTGTCTAATGTTCATTGATTTAAAGAAGGCCTTTGATTCTGTTGGGACGGAATTGGTCATCAAAGCCCTAGCCAAAGAGGGAGTTCAAATGCAATACATCAGGAGTGAGCTGTATTACGGATTCACTACTAGGATCTCACCATTCTACAAGGAAATGTTTGTTCATGTCAAGAGAGGGGTTTGGCAGGGTGATACCATTTCACCAAAACTCTTCAGTGCCACTATCCAAAACGTCATGCAATGACTGGAATGGGAAGGAATGGGAGTGAATATAGAAGCTTGGCAACTACACCACCTCCACTTTGCTGATGACATACTTCTAATAGCACCAAACATTAGTCAAGCGGCACAAATGCTGACCATTTTCTACCGTGAGTGTGGAAAAGTCAGACTAAAGCTGAATCTCACGAAATTAATGTTTATGAGAAACGGTCTCGTTCCTGACATTCCATTTGCTCTCAATGGAATGAACATCTCCAAATGCAACAGTTATGTTTACCTAGTTCAAGAAATCAACATGACAAATGACCTGGCACCTGAGTTGTGCAGGAGTAGCTTGGAATGCCTTCAAGAGAGTAAAAAAAATGAATTATCAGTTTGAGGCTCTTTGTGATCCAGAACGAGCAGACACAATTGTGCTACATTAGCACGCTGCATGGAGAAATGGAGACATTACTGGTGCCTGGTCAAGGAAATCGATGAATAAACAGATGTCGAGTGATCAAGTGAATGTTTTAAATAGTACAGTGTGTTTGTTTTAATCTTGCATTGCTGCTACATTATACCCACCACCAAGTTTTGAAGGATCTGTCAACCAGAATTTCTAGATCTCACCCTCACTCTCCTCTTCACTGATGACATCCACCTGCTGCAGCAAAATGCAAGATTTCATTTTTTTCCGCATAATTCTGTTATACTCTATTTCGATAGCATAATCTTTTCATCCATTTAGCTATTGTTGGACATTTGTGTTGTTTTAGATCTTGGCTATTGTAAATAATGCTTTGCTGAACAGAGATGTAGATAGGTCTTTTTGGATTAATGCTTATTAATCTAAAATAAATTTTAGAAGTTCGTGTAAAATTGTTCTATATATATTTTATGAGGATTTGTCCCATGTTCTTGAATAATTTCATAGGATTTTGATGGCATTACAGCATCTTTTAATTGATTGTGCACTCTGGTCTTTTTTTAAATTTTTATTAGTGAAACACAATGAAGTACAGTTGTAGACTTACAAATTTTTGTGCTTGGGTTTCAGTTATATAATGATCGTGTATCCATCCCTCCACCAGTGCTCAACCTCCACCACCAATGATCCCAGTATCTTTCTGTAAGGTTCTGTTGTGCTTGTTGGGTTTATCTTGTCTTATAGTAACCCCTTTAGCCCTTCTTTTAGGTTTGGTTTTGAGTCTATGAAGTTCCTGAGCTTCCACAAAATTGTGTGCCATTCCTTTGACTTTGAGTGGAAGTTTAGCCGGATAGAGTATTCTTGGTGAAGCATGAATTTTAGTGAGTTTTTTTCACTATATACCACCATTACTCTTGGGTTTCCTCTGATAGGACTGCTGTGAATCTAAGGCGTGCCCCTTTGTATGTGATTTCCTTCTTTGACCTTGCTGCTTGCAGTATTGTGTCTCTATCTGAGGCATCCATCATTCTAACTATGATATGTCTTAGAGTGTTTTTGTTAGGGTCTCTTTTAACTGGCACTCTTTGGGCTCCTTGAATCTGAATGGCTGCATTGTCCAGCTCTGGGAACTTTTCAGCAATGATTTGTTTAGCCGTGGCTTTTTCACTGAGATTGTTTCCCTGACCTTCTGGTATTCCAATGATTCCAATGTTGTTCCTCTTGTAATCATCTCCTAGTTCTCTGATTCTCTCTAGAGCTATTTTGAGGTCTCTTTCGTTGTTTGTTTTTGCCTATAGGCTTGGTGCAGCTGATCTTCCAGCTCACTGATTCTGTCTTCATCTGTGGCCATTCTACTGTTGAGGGCAGAGACTGAGTTCTTTATTTCATCTACAGAATCTTTTATTCATGACATTTCTGTGCGTAGCTTTCCAATTTCTGCTCTCATTTCTTCCGGTATTTTCTCGATTGTTTCTCTCCTGTCCTCCTTTAATTTACTGGATATCTGTCTCACTGTTTCATTGAGTTCATTGAACATCTTTATAACTTCATATCTAAATTCTTTCTCAGAGTGATTCCTTAGGTGAGTAGCACCTACTGAAGTTTCTAGACTCTTTTCATCGCCCTCCCTTCATGGGGGGATTTGTGTTGTTTCTTCATGTTGGTGTGGAGGTATGGAGATTGAGATGTTACACGAGATTGCTGGGTATGAGTAAACTACCTGCAGTCCAAAATTAGCTCACATCCACTTCTACATAGGCCACGCCACTTATACGGAGGACACATTCCCTATGGGTACTTGGTGTGTGGGGAGGTTACAACCTGAGTGAAGAAGAAGATCGGGCACACCATTGGGAATGAACATGAAGAGGCTCAGGGATGGTGAGAGTTCCAGGGTTGTAGAGGACACTTGGAGGTGCGGACACAGGGAGAGCCAAGTCCCAGGTTCGAGTAAAGACTGACCTGAGGGAGGGAGGAGACCAGGTACAGCATTGGGGATGAACAGGAAGAGGCTCAGGGGTGGTGAGCATCCCAGGTCCTAGAGGACACCTGGGGCGTAGACGCAGGGAAAGCCAAGTCCCAGGTTTGAGTAAAGACTTACCTGATGTAGGAAAAAGACCAGGCACAGCATTGGGGATGAACAGGAAGAGCCACTCTGATCATTTTTAACAATGACAATTCTTCCAGTATATGGAGAAGGGTAACTTAAAGTAGGACTTTTTAACGTATCTGGCATGTAATCTAAATTAGGTTGTGCTTTAGTCTGAAGCAGATTAAATATCAAAGTGTAAACACA